CACTGCTACCCTCTTTGCACGTTTCACTTCTGCTCAGCCAGATCTCAGTTTGAATGACTCTTCTGGAAAATGTCTCTGATGCTTAGAATGGACCTTGACTCCCTGCTTTATACAGGCATACCTCAGAGATAGTGCAGGTTTGGTTCCATACCAGCACGATAAAGTGAATATCAGAAGAAGGCAAGTCACATGATTTTTTTAGTTTCTCAGTCCATATAAAAGTTATGTCTATACTATAATGTAGTCTAGTAAGTGTGCAATAGCACTATGTCTTAAAAAACAATGTATACACCCTAATTTTCAAACACTTTCTTTGCTAAAAAATGCTAACAATCATCTGAGGCTTCAGCAAGTGATCATCTTTTGCTGGTGGAGAGCCTTGCCTCAATGTTGACGACTGCGGACTGATCAGGGTGGTGATTGCTGAAGGCTGGGGTGGCTGTGGCAATTTCTGAAAACACGACAATGAGATTTGCTGCATTGATTGACTCTTCTTTTCATGAAAGATTTCTCCATGGCATGCAGTGCGTTTGATAGCATTTTACCTACAGTAAATAGAAATTCTCCAAATCTGGAGTCAATCCTCTCAAGTTCTACTGCTGCCTTATCGAAGAAATGGATGTAATATTTCAATAATATTCACAGTATCTTCACCAAGAGTAGATTCATTTCTCATTAAACCACTTTCTTTCCTCATTCATAAGAAGCAACTCCTCATCTCTTACAGTTTGATCATGAGATTGCAACAATTCAGTCACATCTTCAGACTCCACTTCTAATTCTAGCTCTCTTGCTATTTCCACCACATCTGCAGTTACTTCCCCCACCAAAGTCTTGAACCTCTCAAAGTTATCCATGGGGGTGGAAAACAACTTCTTCCCAAACACCTGTTAATGTTGACATTTTGAATTCCTACCATGAATAATGAATGTTCCTATTGGCATTTAACATGGTAAATTCTTTCCAGAAAGTTTTCAGTTTATTTTGCCCAGTTCCATCAAGGAATCACTATTTATGGCAGCTACAGCCTTATGAAATGTATTTCTTAAATAGTAAGGCAAAAGTTGAAATTACTTCTTGATCCATGGGCTGAAAAATGAATGTTGTGTTAGAAAGCACATAAACCTTAACCTCTTTATATACACCTCCACCAGAGCTCTTAGGCACCTTGTCAATAAGCAGTAATATTTTGAAAGGAATCTTTTTTTCTGAGCAGTAGGTCTCAACAGCAGGCTTAAAATATTCAGTAAACCATTCTGTAAACCGATGTGCTGTCACCCGGCTTTGTGCTGCATTGATAGAGCACAGGCAGAGTAGATTTAGTGTAATTCTTAAGGGCCCTCTGATTTTCAGAAGGGTAAATAGCACTGGCTTCAACTTAACGTCACCAGCTGCACTAACTCCTAACAAGAGAGTCAGTCTGTTAATTTGAAACTTTGAAGCCAGGCATTGACTTCTCTCTGGCTATGGAAGCCCCTAGATGGCATCTTCTTTCTTGTTTTTGTTTTTGTTTTTTTTTGACAGAGTCTCACTTCCGTCATGCAGGCTGGAGTGCAGTGGTGTAATCACAGCTCACTGCAGCCTTGACTTCCCAGGCTCAGGTGATTCTCCCACCTCAGTAGCTGGGACTACAGGCATGCATCATCATGCCTAGCTGGGGTTTTTTTTTTTTTTTTGAAACGGAGTCTCACTCTGTCACCCAGGCTGGAGTGCAGTGGTGCGATCTCCACTCACTGCAAGCTCTGCCTCCCGGGTTCACACCATTCTCCTGCCTCAGCCTCCCGAGTAGCTGGGACTACAGGCACCACCACCATGCACAGCTAATTTTTTGTATTTTTAGTAGAGACGGGGTTCACCATGTTAGCCAGGATGGTCTCAGTCTCCTGACCTGTGATCTGCCCGCCTCAGCCTCCCAAAGGTGCAGGGATTACAGGCGTGAGACACCACACACGGCCTGGTTTTGTTTTCTGTATTTTAGTAGAGAAGGAGTTTCTCCATGTTACTCAGGCTTGGCGGCATCTCTTTCAACAGAAAGCTGTTTCATCTACATGGAAAAATTTGTTGTTTAGTGTAGCCACCTTCATCAGTTATTAGGGTACATACCTTGTATGCACTAAGGTATGCCTGTACTCATATGTGCCCTTTATTCCTCTTACACCATTTACTACAATTTTTTCTTAATGTTTAATGTGTGGTTTATGCCTAAGCTTGCTATGAGGACCAGCTCCATGAAGGCAGGGGCTGTGTCTGTCCTGCCCACCAGCGTACCCTCCAGTGGCCTATTGTGCAGAGAGGTAAATGCCAGACTGAAGATTAAAATGGCTTGTCTTTAAGACCAGCGGATTAAATTGGGGGAAAAGGTGAGAGGGAAATCTGAGGCCAAAGACTCAGTTTGAGCAGAGGCCAGGGCCATGCCATGGCATTTCACGTGGGCTCCCTTGGCTGTGACAGGAAGGTAGAGAGAAGCAACTTAAACTGCAGAGCAACAAGACTAAACGCAGCATCTGCAAGGATAGAGTGAACATCCAGGTAGACGAGGGGCTGGAGGAGTCCTGGAAGCAGAGGGAGGTGTCCTTGTGGATGGGCCAGAGTAGAGAAGAGGAGTGCTCCTCCCAAAGCCAGGTTCTAAATTGATCAGGAGTGTCAGAGGTATGACGCTTTTCTGGAACGTTCCTGGAGATCTGAGAGATCTTGAGCGTATTGACATCTTTACAATGAGATTTCCAATCCGTATCAAAGGATATTGGAATGTTGCTGGCATCTCTTGGTTAAACCTGGATTTTAAAAAATAAGTAATATGTACTGCTTAAGATAAACTAATTCTGACAGCTCCCAGAGCCCCCCAATATTTCCCCCCCATTTCAATTTCTGGCCTGATCCCCTTTACCACACTGAGCTCCTGGCCGGGCTGGGTCTCTTTGGCCCCATGCCCCATCCCACTTCACATGGTGACTGCTGGCTCAGAGCGGTGCCCAGTCAGTTCTGAGAAGGATAAATATAATGATTGTATGCACCTAGGGGCGCTGGCAGGATGATAATGGCATTTGGTCCTTCTTCCCGACATGGCAACTGGCCCGCCTCCCGCTCCTCCTAGTGTGCGTGGGCTCTGCTCCTCCACACACTAGCTCCTCTATCACCCTTCTCCTCATGGCAGAGCGACTTTTTATTTATCCATTGACTTGAGTGGTGGAGTTTATTTTATTGGATTTTAGCACACATGTGAAGCCTTTGAAAAGCCTCTTCAGGCCGGGCGCGGTGGCTCACGCCTGTAATCCCAGCACTTTGGGAGGCCGAGGCGGGCTAATCACGAGGTCAGGAGATCGAGACCATCCTGGCTAACACGGGTGAAACCCCATCTCCACTAAAAATACAAAAAATTAGCTGGGCATGGTGGCAGCACCTGTAGTCCCAGCTACTCGGGAGGCTGAGGCAGGAGAATGGCGTGAACCTGAGAGGCGGTGCTTGCAGTGAGCCGCAATCATGCCACTGCACTCCAGCCTGGGCAACAGAGTGAGACTCTGTCTCAAAAAAAAAAAAAAGAAAACGAAAAGCCTTTTTAGTCGATGACCATATTTCTCTTCTGACCACCATGTCCACCCCCACTGAAGCCTCCCGAAGGTCCGTAAAGTCTGGATGATAATTAAAGTCATCCCAGCTGTCCTGGTCTGTTGTCAAGCCCTGTGGCTACCCTCCCTGCAGGGCGGCAGCTGCCCCACCCGCTGTCCTCTGCTCAGCACACCCCGCCCATGCCCAGCCCAGAGTCCACCTACGCACTGCCCCTCTGCCTGGAGCAGTCCTACCATGCAGGTCCCAGCCTGTTGTGTTCATTTAACTTTAAAGATTAATTGGCCGGGTGCGGTGGTTCATGCCTGTAATCCCAGCACTTTGGGAGGCCGAGGAGGGTGGATCACAAGGTCAGGAGATCGAGACCATCCTCACCAACATGGTGAAACCCCATCTCTACTAAAAATACAAAAATTAGCCGAATGTGGTGGTGTGTGCCTGTAATCCCAGCTACTAGGGACGCTGAGGCAGAAGAATCACTTGAACCAGGGAGTTGAAGGTTGCAGTGAGCCGAGATAGCGCCACCGCACTCCAGCCTGGCAACAGAGTGAGACTCGTCTTAAAAAAAAAAAAAGATTAATTTACAGCAAACGCTTTGTAAGCACTCTTTTATTAGCACTGTGTCCTATTTATTTCAAATATACTGAAAAGGCTGGGCATGGTGGCTCACCCCTGTAATCCCAGCACTTTGGAAGCCCGAGGCAGGAGGATCACTTGAGGCCAGAAGTTTGAGGTTATGAGTCTGAGAATAGCCTGGACAACATAATGAGATTCTGTCTCTCCAAAAATAAAAATTAAAAATTAAAAACTTAGCCATACCTGGTGACGCATGCCTGTAGTCCCAGCTGCTTGGGAAGCTGAGGCAGGAGGATCGCTTGAGCCCAGGAAATTGGGGTTATCTCCAACCTGGGTGACAGAGTGAGACTCCATCTCTAGAAAAAAAAATTTTTATAGCAAACACTTTGTTCTTTTATTAGCACTGTGAAGTATTTGAAATACACTGAGAAATGCAGACTAGGATTAGCAGACACTCATGGACCCACTATCCAGGATTAGCAAATGTTCACATTTTGCCATATTTGCTTCCAATTATTATTATTCTTATTTGAGACAGAGTCTCGCTCTGTCGCCCAGGCTGGAGTACAGTGGTACACTCCCGGCTCACTGCAAGCTCCACCTCCCGTGTTCAAGCAATTCTCCTGCCTCAGCCTCCCAAGTAGCTGGGATTACAGGTGTGTGCCACCATGCCCGGCTAATTTTTTTATTTTTAGTAGAAATGGGGTTTCGCCATGTTAGCCAAGCTGGTCTTGAACTCCTGACCTCAAGTGATCCACCTGCCTCGGCCTCCCAAAGTGCTGATATTACAGGTGTGAGCCACTGTGTCTGGCGAGCTTCCAATTATTTTTATATAACGTTTTATGTTACATATAACTAGATATAAATATATTTACATGTAAACATATATTACATACTGTATACATTTTTTAACATAGCAAAGCCTCTCACATACAGTTACAGACCCCTTTGTCCGCATCCTCTGGCCTATTCTCTCCCTCCCTGTGCAGTATCCACCCCGGAGTTACCATATCTTCCTCCTGCCCGTGTTTTTTAATTTTGCTGCAAATACACAGTCCCTGAACTATATATAGCATTTATTCTGTATTTGGTATGGTTGCTTCATTCTACTGCTGGCGTTTTCCACTCAACATCCTACCTTCCGGGCCAATGTTGTTGCCATTCACAAGCCTAGTTCATTCTACGAAAATGCTCTGCAGCGTTCCCTTCTCTGGGCACCTCACCACTTATTTCGCCGCTGTTCTCTGATGGATGCTTTTGCTTTTTTCCAGTCTTACCAGCAGGGCAGTGACAAGGTTGCTAGGTGGAGGAGTCTGAATGTTCACCTAGGATGTTTTTCTAGCAGGAGGAATCGCATGGTCAGCTGTGCGAGATGTGCTGCTTTGCCCTCCACGGCATCTACTCCACACTCCCAGCAGCGTGTGAGAAGGCCCTGCTGGAGTGGCCAGGGGACCCTCGGAGGAGCCTAGGCCCTCCAGGGTGGGCCAGTCTCCCGTCAAGTGCTGTTAGGTTTGCTAAGTTCATTCAGGCACCACTTTGGAGACGGACCCTCAGCACTGAGAAGGAGGGTTACTGGTTGGATCTAGATGTGTTGCGTTACAGGTAGCACAAGGAGCTGTGTTCCCCGCCTGGTCATGTGGTAGGACAGTCAACTGTCGTCACCATCCCTGTAGCACCAGCACATCTGATGCCAGCAGGAGTGGATGGCCCCACTTCTCCAGGTGTCTTCACCTGCCACTTACTGGAACCTGCTCTGTCAAGGCAGGCCCTGAAGGTTTCTTCAAATATAGCTGAGGAGGGAAGAGATACTTTGCCTTCAACATCGGTGACCCGAGTCCTCTGGAACTGCCTCCAAAGAGGAAGAGCACTTTCCCCTCTCAGACAACATGGTACCGGCACCCCTCACTCTCAACACAGAATGGAACATAGTCTGCACTCCTGTAGATGATCTGAAGGCATCAGGGGACCATGTGATACCAACCTCAGTCTCAGAGGGTAGGCCCTGCACGGGGTTGCGCAGCGTGGGGCCGCACCCCTCAGCCCTACCCCTCTGTTCTTCCTGATCCTGCAACAACATGGCTCTGGAATGGAGGGCAGTCACTGCCTTCCGGCAGCCCCATCACCGTGGCTGGGGAGGAGGAGGCAGCCACAGAGGCCTCAGGGAGCAACATCTCCCACTGCCCAGGCCTTTGGCAACACGAGTGAGATGTGGCCTCTGCCCCAAGGGTGCTTGCAGAGCAGCAGGGAAGGTGAATGTGATAGTTAGTGGTTAATATTAAGTGTCAACTTGATTGGACTGAAGGATGCAAAGTATTGTTTCTGGGTGTTTCTGGGTGTTGCCAGCAGAGATTCACATGTGAGTCAGTGGACTGGGAGAGGAAGACCCACCTACAATGTGGGTGGGCACCATCCAATCGGCTGCCAGCATGGCGAGAAAAAGCAGGCAGAAGAAGGTGGAGGAAGCTGACTTGCCGAGTCTCCCAGGCTTCATCCTTCTTCCCTGCTGAATGCTTCATACCCTTGAACATCAGACTCCTGGTTCTTCAGCTTCTGGACTCTTGGACTTACACCAGTGGTTTGCCAGAGTTCTCAGGCCTTCGGCCACAGACTGAAGGCTGCACTCTTGGCTTCCCTACTTCTCAGGTTTTTGGACTCGGACTGAGCCACTACTGGCTTCCCTGCTCCTCAGCTTGCAGACGGCCTGTCATGGGACTTCACCCTGGGATCGTGTGAGTCAGTTCTTCTCAATAAATGCCCTTTCATGTGTTAGTTCTGTGCCTCTGGAGAACACTGATGAACACAGTGAGAAAGGCGGCTGGCACACCCGGGGACCCACAGAGGAGGAGAACGAACTTGAAAGTCCCCCCTGAGCGCTAAAGGGATTCCCAGAGTGAGCGTCCCCTCCCGAGGGGCGGAGGAGACACGGGACACTCCTGCGGGTCTGGGATGGTGTGGATGGCTTGGAGGGGATGCGGGAGCCACAGGTAAACAGGCTGCCGAGGGAGGGAAGAGTAGGTGGTACCAGTTCAGAGTCTGGGGCTGTGAGTTTAGCTGATTAGGCCCTTGTAAAACAGTTTCACGATGCCACCTGGTGGCAAGCTCAGAGCAACTTATTCCTGGAGAACAGGGACAGGAAAAATCCATCTGGTGGTGAGCGTGCAAGGAGAAGAGGAAGGCACTGTCTGGTCTGGTATGCAGGGCATGGCATGGGAGAGCACCTCGAGCCTGTGGAGAGAGGCCATGGGGGTAGTGGTCACCAGAGCCCTTCTGCTGAGGCCCAGTGCTGCCCTGACCCTGCCTGCAGGTCACTGTGCCACTGGGTGATGCCGGCACCGCGTCTGTGAGGGGGAACGCAGGGGTGGCTGTGAGGCCTCAGGGCACTTGCTCCACGGGGTGCCCACAGCCTGCCTGGAGTCCCTCCTCTGCTCACAGCACTATAGGCTGTCACTCGGAACCTCCTACTCTGTAGGCCCACCCAGCTTGTGACTTGGCAACCCTGTCCCATATCCAGACTGAACAATAGCTGTCTTCTGCGCTCCCTTGGGAGCAGCTTGGGCCAGGCAGGTGGGGTCATGCTGAGGGCCAACAGCAGGACAAAGAGGGGCAGGTGGCCGGCAGGCCCGCCCACACCCATGCTCCCCACATGAAGTGGGTTGTCCTTGGCTTCAGGCTCCTCGTCTCAAACTGACAATGTACATCATTGTGAGGTGACGTGGTGTGGGAGGTGGGTCCCTGGACGCCTGAGGAACAGCCCAGATGGTGGGCAGTGCATTCCAGCACCCCAGCTCTCCAAAGCCCCTTTCACCTCCCTGAAGACAGTGTTTCTGCAGCTTTCCGGGGCCAGGCCACCTTTGTCCTCAGCCACCTGCCTAGTGTGTTTCGGCCCCACCCAGTGTCACCCACCCTGTGTGACACTTCCACACCCCACATTGGGCTCCTCCTCTGCAGCCACCCTCAGGCTTCTTGCCTTGCCTACCCCTCCAGCTTCCCTATACAACTCTCAGTCTCATCCTCTACACCTCTGGCCATACTAGGGAGGGGCGCATTACTTTTTTCCAGTTTTTTAAAATTGTGGTAAAATATACATAACATAAATTTGCATTTTAACCAGTTTTAAGTGTACAGTTCAGTGGCATGAAGTACATTCACACTGTTGGGCAGCCGTCACCACCGTCCATCTCCAGGACTTTTTCATCTTCCCAGACTGACACTCGGCCCCCATTCAACACAAACCCCACATTCCCCTCCCTCCAGCTCCCACCATTCTACTTCCTGTCTCTAGTTCTCTGGCCTCTCGGGGCCTCTCGAGACACAACTAATGGGAGTGGAGCCCCATAGTGCCTGTGCTGGTGTGGCTGCCTTCTTTCACTTAATGTAACGTCTTTAAAGTTCAGCCGTTGTATTATGCATCAGAATTTCATTCCTTTTCAAGGGTGAAGACTGTACCACGTTTTATGTATCCATTCGTCTACACACGGAGGCTTGGGCTGATTCCACCTCTGGGCTTTGTGAGTGATGCTTCTAGGCAGACAGTTGTCACTTCAAGACCTTGCTTTCAATCCTTCCGGGTGTATACCCCGAAGCAGAATTGCGGACCAAAGGGTAATTCTGTTTAATTTTTCGAGGAACTGCCAAACTTTTATGTTTAAATGTTCAGTGAAGTTGAAGTTTTATTTTTTAATTTGATGTTCAATTGTTTGAGGAACTGGCATTCACAGCATCTGCACCGTTTTCGATTTCCAACAGCAGGCACGGGTTCCGCTTTCTCTACGTCCTCGCCAACAGCAGGCACAGGGTTCCCCTTTCTCTACGTCCTCGCCAACAGCAGGCACAGGGTCTGCTTTCTCTGTGTCCTCGCCAACAGTTTTTATTTTCTGTGTTTTCAATGGATGTGAGGTGGTATCTCATTGTTTTCATTTGCATTTCCCTAATGTTTAGTGATGTTGAGCATCTTTTTATATGTTATTGGCTATTTGTATATCCTCTTTAGAGAAATGTCTATTCAAGGCCGGATGCAGTGACTCACGCCTGTAATCCCAGCACTTTAGGAGGCCGAAGCGCGTGGATCACCTGAGGTCAGGAGTTCAAGACAAGCCTGGTCAATATGGTGAAATCTGTCTCTACTAAAAATACAAAAAAAATTGGCTGGGGGTGGTGGCAGGCGCCTGTAATCCCAGCTACTCAGGAGGCTGAGGCAGGAGAACAACTTGGACCTGGGAGGCAGAGGTTGCAGTGAGCCAGGATCACACCGCTGCACTCCAGCCTGGGCAACAAGAGCGAAACTCTGTCTCAAAAAATAAAATAAAAATAAATGTCTATTCAAGTCCTTTGCCAGTTTTTGAATTGGGTTCTTTGATTTTTGTTGTTCAGTTGTAGAAGTTTAAAAAGAAAATATTCTGGATATTAACCTCTTACCAGATGTATGATTTACAAAGAAAAAAAACAGTTCAGAGAGTATAAAAAGATCAAGTGTTTTTTTAAAGGGTAGATGAAAGTAGATACATTGGCCGGGCGCGGTGGCTCAAGCCTCTAATCCCAGCACTTTGGGAGGCCGAGACGGGCGGATCACGAGGTCAGGAGATCAAGACTATCCTGGCTAACGCGGTGAAACCCCGTCTCTACTAAAAAATACAAAAAACTAGCCGGGGGAGGTGGCGGGCGCCTGTAGTCCCAGCTACACAGGAGGCTGAGGCAGGAAAATGGCGTTAACCCGGGAGGCGGAGCTTGCAGTGAGCTGAGATCCGGCCACTGCACTCCAGCCCGAGCGACAGAGCGAGACTCCGTCTCAAAAAAAAAAAAAAAAAAAAAGAAAGTAGATACATTAGAAAAACACATTATTATTCCATGTGTAAACTTGAGACTCTTGTGCCTGTGTTTATTCTGGTTCTTTTCACAATACATTGAAATCATCCCTTGGTCGGGTGCAGTGGCTCACTCCTGTAATCCCAGCACTTTAGGAGACCAAGGTGGGTGGATCGGCTGAGGTCAGGAGTTCAAGACCAGCCTTGAACCCAGGACCCAAGAAGCAGAGATTGCAGTGAGCCAAGATCGCACCATTGCACCCCAGTCTGGGCTACAAGAGTGAAACTGTTTAAAAACAAACAAACAAACAAACAAACAAACAAACAAACGGGTTGAGCACAGTGGCTCATGCCTATAATCCCAGCAGTTTGGGAGGCCCAGGTGGGCGGATCACCTGAGGTCAGGAGTTCGAGACCAGCTTGGCCAACATAGTGAAACCCTATCTCTACTAATAATACAAAATATAGCTGGGCATGGTGGCATGTGCCTATAATCCCAGCTACTTGGGAGGCTGAGGCAGGAGAATGGCTTGAGTCCAGGAGGTAGAGGTTACAGTGAGCCGAGATAGTGCCACTGCACTCCAGCCAGGGCAACAGAGCAAGACTCTGTCTCAAAAAAAAAAAAAATTAAAAAATGGAAATTATCAATTTACTTTTCTGCATCTTCTGCTAGAGCTTGAGCTTTTGAATGAAACTCTTGTGTCTGCATTGGCAGAATCTGTCTCAGAGGAGACTGTGGTAGGGAGAATTCTAAGATAACCCTCAACAACCCACTTCGTATATAATTCCTCCCTGCAAGGGTGGGAGGGACTGTGAATATAATGGGCTATCAGTCTCGTGACTGTGTTAATCACATGGCACTTTAAGAAAGGGAGATTATTGATTAAGGAAGGGTGATGTCCTTGAAAGTTCTGACCAAATCATGGGAGTCCTTTGTGTCTGGGTCTAGAGGTCACAGACAAGAGAAGTCAGAGATTCAAAGCCTAGGAAGGATTTGATGCAAGAGATCCTGAGGCTGTCCCTGAAGGAGGAAGCTGCGGTATTGTGAGAGGGCCTGTGGGAAGCAGCCAAGTGGCCTCTAGGCGTTGACAGTGGCTCCCAACTAGCAAACGCCTGCCTCAGTCATTCAACTGCAAGAAACGGAATTTTGCCAACAATCTAAATGGGCTGGAAGGCAAATTCTTCTGCAGAGCCTTCAGAGAGCTTGTGGCCAGTCGACATCTTGAGCATGAGACCTTCAGCAGAGAACCAAGTCGGGCCATGACAGAGTTCTTACCCATGGGCATGGCATGGTCATGTATTTGTGTTGTTTTAAGCCATGAGGTTAAAACTTTCACAGCAACAGAACACTAATAGGAATTTTGGTTCCAGGAATGAGGTGCTGCTGTAAGAAACATTTCAAAATATGCCAGTAGTTTTGGAACTGGGCAGTGGGTAGGGCCTGGAAATATTTTGAGGAACATCATTTAAAAAACTTGAATTACCGGCCGGGCGCAGTGGCTCACGCCTGTAATCCCAGCACTTTGGGAGGCCGAGGAGGGCGGATCAAGAGGTCAGGAGATCAAGACCATCCTGGCTAACACGGTGAAACCTCGTCACTACTAAAAATACAAAAAAAGTAGCCGGGCGTGGTGGCGGGTGCCTGTGGTCCCAGCTACTCAGGAGGCTGAGGCAGGAGAATGGCGTGAACCTGGGAGGCGGAGCTTGCAGTGAGCCGAGATCGCGCCACTGCACTCCAGCCTGGGTGACAGAGCGAGACTCCGTCTCAAAAAAAAAAAAAAAAAAAAAACTTGAATTACCTTAGAGAAGGCCTCTATTTCCTTGGATAGACTGTGCATAGAAATATAGACTTTAAGGCTTCTGTGGTTGACAGCTTAGCAGGTGGGGGGTATGCTACCGGAAATGGGGTAGGTCCTGATGGTGTCACAGCAGAAACTGTTTCCCGCTGCTGTGTGGGGAGCAAACTTTCAGGGGCCCATTTGCACGTATGTGTAATTGCCAGATAGGTTCTTCCTGCCTGCTGCGCAGACAGAATCAAACTCCTGAGACCGTGCTGTTGCAGTAGAGAAAGACTTTCATTGACCAGGGCCCAGCTCACACAGGAGAACTGGCGTTCTCACTCAAATTGGTCTCCCTGTAGGCTCAGAGGCCAGGAGATTTTATGGACAATTGATGGGCAGGAGGGTTAGGGAATAAGTGCAGCTGATTGGTTGGTGATGAAAATTACAGAGGTGTGGAAAATGGTCCCTGTGCACTGAGTCCACCTCTGGGTGGGACCACAGGGCCATTTGAGTCATGAGTCACAAGTTCAGGTGGGGTCAGTCTGAAAAAAGCCGGAAAAAAAAAAAAAAATCTCAGGTTCTACAATAGTGACATTATAGGAGCAATTGGGAGAGTCACAAATCTTGTGACCTCTGGCTATATGACTCCTGAGCTGTAAGGGATTATAGAAACTATGCCTACCTTATCAGAATTCAGTCCCCTCCCATAATCCTATTCTTGTGGCCTTTCATTAATCTTACCAAAGGTGGTTTTCAGTCCCTGAGCAAGGAAGGGATTAGTTTTAGGGAGGAACTATTATTATCCTTGCTTTCAAATTAAACTATAAACTAAATTATTCTTAAAGTTAGCTTGGCTTAGCCCCAGGAATGACCAAGGACAGCTTGGAGGTCAAAAGCAAGATGGAGTCAACTATGTCAGATTTCTCTTACAGTTATAATTTGGCAAAGGCAGTTTCATGTGGCTTAGGAGATTTCTAAGCAACGCTTTGAGGTCCTACCTGGTTTCTTCTTGCTACTTATAGCAAAATGTGAAGGAAGAGGGATAAACTGAGGGAAGAACTGCTAAACCAAAAGGAATCAGGACTGGAGGGTTTCAAAAATTCTTAGCCTCTCCAGATGTCAAAAGATGCTAAAAGTCAGAGATGGTCGCTGAAACCATGGCACAGAGAAAAGTCTGACACTCTAATGTTCTGCTAAGACCCCAGAAAGACCAAGAGGTCAGAATAGTCAGTCCATCCAAGGGCCCTTTCAAGACATTGAGGTATAGTCACAACAGAGGGCCCCAAGGACGCTGCCATCTCAGCAGGAGGCCAGGTGGAGGAGGGACTATCTCAAAAAGATTGTGCATGTGACTTTATCTAATGAAGTGAAACTGGTGAAACACACAAGGACTATGAGGTTCTTGAGATGTTTATTTCAGCAGAACATTCCCAGCTCATACTGACAGGGACAGGGAAAGTACACAATGAAAGAAGGCCCCCAGAATTCCACTTGCAGGAAGCAAGGCAGTAGAACTACTTGGATGCAAACGTGCTACTTAGCATGAAAAAGGAAGGATGACCCGAGCTGAGAGCCACAGGATTTTCTCCCAGGCCTTGAAACCTAATGGAGTTTGTTCCAGAAGGATATAAAAGCTGCTATGGACTAGTCACTGCTTTTTACTGTCCATTCCCCCAACCTCCTTTTGAGCATTATGCTGTGCCCGTCTTATCACTGTATGTGCAGAATGTTGGGGTAGGAAGTTTCTTTCGTTTCATAGGTCCACAGGTCAGGAAGAATTGTGCTCAAGAGCTGTATTTAGCAGATTACAGCCAGGAACCTGATCCATATTCCATCTGAAGTATTTAAATGATGACATTGTGGATTTTGAGCTGATGAGATAACTCTATTTAGATGTAGATGATGAGATTTTGAATTTTAAGCTGAGACTCTAATGAGATTGCCAGAGGCGTTTGAACCAGAGCAATTCCATCTTGAATAGGGGCCGGTAAAAGGAGGTTGAGACCTACTGGGCTGCATTCCCAAGAGGTTAGGCTTTTTTTTTTTTCTTTGAGACGGAGTCTTGCCACTCTGTTGCCCAGGCTGGAGTGCAGTGGCGCAATCTTGGCTGCAAGCTCCGCCTCCCGGGTTCACGCCATTCTCCTGCCTCAGCCTCCCGAGTAGCTGGGACTACAGGCACCTGCCACCACCCCCGGCTATGTTTTTGTATTTTTTAGTAGAGATGGGGCTTCACCTTGTTAGCCAGGATGGTCTCAATCTTCTGACTTTGTGATCCGCCCGTCTCAGCCTCCCAAAGTGCTGGGATTACAGGCGTGAGCTACCGCGCCCGGCCTTTTTTTT